GAGATTATTTTCTGAACCAGATTCTCTTGTCGGGAGGGTGTTCAAGGCAAGATATTACATGGATGGTAATTTTTTGTCCGCTAGGGTGGGAAATAATCCGTCTTTTATTTGGCAAAGCTTACTTCAGGTTCAAGATATTATCAGGCCAGGCTACTATTGGAGGGTTGGAAATGGGCTGGATATTAACATATGGACCGAGCCTTGGCTTCCGGATAAAAGTCAACCCAAATTAGCATCCAACCCTGTTTTGGGGCTGGAGCAAGCTCGGGTTGGGAGTCTTATGTGCGTCGGAGATAGGAGGTGGGATGTGGACCTTCTCAAGGACCTATTTGTGCAGCGGGATGTTGACATTATCTCGGGTATTCCACTAAGTTTCAGGGATGTTCCAGATAGAGTGTGCTGGAGATGGGAGAACTCGGGCCATTTTTCTGTGCGTAGCTGCTACAGAGCTATAACCGGAGAGATTACACCGAGTGAATGGCTCGGGTGGACGGAGATGTGGCAGTGGAAACTGCCACCAAAGGTGAAGCAGTTTTTCTGGCAAGCCTGCTGTAGTCTTCTCCCGACGAAGGTTAATCTAAAGGCCCGGAGAATCAATTGCACAGACGTCTGCGGTTTGTGTGGGATGGATGCAGAGTCTCAATTTCACTTGTTCATTTCTTGCCCACTAGCGAAAGAAGCTTGGAAATCAGTTGGGTGGAGCTGGTCGACTCCTTTTGAGGGGTCTTTTTTGGAGCAGGTCCATCGGGAATTTCAAATGAAGAATAATGAGGACTTGTGTAAATTGATTTGGGGTTGTTGGGGTTTGTGGGGAGAGCGAAATAAAAGAATAAGCAGGTTATGAGGAAAGCTTGGGTGTATGTGGATGGTTGGCGACTGGCTCAGAAAGGTGTAGGCGGGCAGACCAGCCACGGGAGAATGGGTAATTCGAGCTGGAGAAATCCAGCTCCTGGAAGGATGAAACTGAATGTAGATGCGGCAATCAGGAATGACAGGAGCGGGTTGGGTTGGATTCTTAGAGATGATTCTGGTAATTTTATTGCAGGCATGGCTAAGATCTGGATGGGAGTCTCGTCCCCGTTGGAAGCTGAGTTGATGGGAATTCGGGAAGCTTTGAGCTGGGCAAAAGGAAGAGGATGGGATCGGGTGGATGTGGAGTCAGATTCTTGAGGAGCAATTTCGGAAATATTAAAGGAAACAAGTATTTCCTTAGCAGGCGTCTTGGGTGGTGATATTCGAGAGATAACATCTAGCTTTGTGGACATCTCTTTTTTACATGTCAAGTCATCAGCGAACAAGGCGGCTCACGAATTAGCTAAAGCTGCTTGTTTTGTCACTTTGTGTCTGGTTGCATTTGTTGGAGTGATTTTCCTCCTCATTTTATTACTCATGTATTAAACGCTGATTCTTTGAATGAACGTTAATTCTTCCCCTTTCAAAAAAATAATAATAATTACTCTCCCTCTATATACAGTACACCCCGTAATAAAAATGGATACGCTTTAAATGTTGATTAAGCCAATGTGGCTGGTGGCCCGGATGACCACCACTTTTTTGGAACAAAGTGGCTTATATTGATAATAACACATTCAACAAGGGACAAAAGAGATAAATGAAACACTTACAGCCACCGACCCTCGAACCAGCCTGAGAACCAATCACCCTAGACAGAGCAATATGATTCACTGATCCTGTAATGGGTCTAAATGAGCCAAATGTGGCCAAAACAAAACCCTCATCACCCCTACCTTATGTAAGAGTCTGACAGAAATAAACATACATGACAAATAAAACAACATGACGTTCGAAGTAAAAAACACAAACAAACTAAAGCAAAAATAGTGATAGCCTTCCAAACCCTAGTCACACAATTCCTCCATGACGGCAGTTCAGGAGGGGGAAGAATCAACATCTCTTCGTCTTCTTTCGTCCGTAGGAGATCCCCTGTCGATATGTCTCCCCCCTCAATGAGCTCTTCACAATTTTCCGGCCGCTCCTTGCCCTCCTTCTCCTCCTCAAGATCCAAGCCTTTCCACGATTGCATGAAATCTGCCATGGACGCCGCTGTCTCCTTGGACTCGCCCCCTGCCAGCATCGTGGAGGAGCAAAGCTTCTTCTCGCCGGCCGAAATCTGTCACGAGAAAACAAGAAAAAATGCTGAGCCTTACGCCCAGAAATCGACCGTCACAAACGACGGCGCACCTCTAACCCTAAGTAACTAGGGAGTCGACAACTTTTTTCTCTCGGTATGAAATTCTTGTATCAGATGACCACCACTTGTTGCACCAATCATCCCAAAATTTATAGAAAAGCGTTTTTGTATCCGCTTTCATATTTTAAGACGAATAAAAGTTAATGAGTGTGTCTGACATTTAGTGGTTAGTGGTTAGCAGATTATGTTACCAGATTGTCAGTAGCGGATTCAGTCAGCGGGTTTGACTAGTAGATAAGTTTGGCGGTTTGTCAGAAGATGTTTGGTAATTTACCATTTGGCCATCAGAATTAGTAGAAAACGACATATTTCAAAACACCGACACAAAACTCTCAAATTTGTGGCGTTTTTATTTCGGCGGTTTCGTCCAAAAACGCTAGGGCCGATAGGACAACTATTTACCAAACAACGTTTTTCATTTTTTGAAGGGAGAATGGAAACTAATAATCCAACCTTTTAGTGGTCTTCTTTCGATAATCCCACTTTTTGATTATTCATGAATAATCCAACTTTTGCATCTCATCTTCATTCACTAGTCCCTGACCGGTTGATGACCTGCTATTCCAAACTATTTTCTTATCTTTACAAATCATTATACCATAAATCTCATCTTTCACAAAGATAATATTTTGCAAAGATAAGAAAATAACTTGGAATAGCAGGTCATTAATCGATCAGGGACCAACGAATGAAGATGGGGTGCAAAGGTTGGATTATTCATGAATAATCAAGAGGTGGGATTATTTAAAGAAGACCGCTAAAAGGTTAGATTATTAATTTCCATTTTCCCTTTTTTGAAAACGCTAAAAGGAGTCGCCATTTTTTTGTTCCATTTTCCAAACACCCAAAGTCAAAGAAATTGTCTTATCAACAACGTAACAACAATCACATGTGCATTATTTCCACTTGGACTAATTTCTGTGTTAGCCCAGACCTAGAGAATAGTAAAATAATGATAACATTAGACATATACTGAATCATACTAGATCAGTTCAAACCAAATCAAATTATATGGGACTCTAATAGATCAAATCAAATCAACCGGTTGGAACCGATCAAACCAAAAAACGGTCAAAATGATAACATGCTATGATGTTAAATATTATACCTTGACTTATTAATGGGTGTGGTGCCTATTATACAACTTAAGATGACCAAAATCCTTATAGATATGCTTAGACAAACCCATATTCAATTTTGGTCGTGAAATACTATCGTATTTAAGGAGTGTTTGCAATTGATTAAAAAAAGTGTTTTTCAGCTTTTGGCTTAAAAAAAGTTAAAAAGAGTGTTTTCAAATGACAGCTTCTGCTTAAATTAATTACTTAAAAGCTAAAAGCTGGAAGTAGGTGGAAGAGTGCTTTGAACTGCTTTTCACTTTTTCTATTACACAAAAAGTACTTCTTTTACCAAACACTACCAACTTTTACTTTTTCAGAATCACTTTTTCTTCAAACACTACCAACTTTTACTATTAATCACTTTTTCCAAAATCACTTTAAAAAATCACTTCTTTAAAGTTGAAGCAATTGCAAACACTCCCTTAGTAGCGCATTAATTAATTAGTACTGCGTGACAACGTGTGATCTTCAATTCCATGCATGAACTTTGTACATGAAGCTTGTAAAACATATATTAATATAAAAATGATGAATTCAAAACGTAAAAAGTAAACATAAAAAAAACGTATGTTGTATACAAATAATATATAAATATATGTAATGGCGCGCTATTGTTACGAGTATATAGTTCCGATTTTATTATAAAACTGAAGACATACTATGTTATGTTATTTTATAAAACATTTAAAAAAATGTTTTATAAGATGTATGTATAGACTAATTAAACTCATATGCGGTATACATTGACCAAGTGTGTATATATACGAATTCTCTTTTATCTATCTAGTATATAAATATTATTTGATTTTGTCTCTGACGTATTTTATTCAATTCATTATGAACCATTTAGTTGTACTTATTGTGCATACTAATAAATTCGAAATACCTTAATATAAGAATATCGTCTAAGAAAATTTGGAACGAGAAGGGAAGAAAGAGAAAAATAGAAAAGAAAATACGAAAAAGGGGACAAAAAATGAATTTTTATCTCATACTCCCCCAGTCCCATTTTGTAAGATACATTTCCTGTTCACTTGGTCAACACAAATCACTTTAAATCTCTTACTTTATATATATTAAAATTTTATGAAATAAATTTCACTAGTGGAAAAAAGCTAATTTGCGGCGGTTTTTTACCCGTACGCGCGGCGGTTCTAACCGCCACGGACAATTATGCCGCAAATTTTTCACGCGCGGCGGTTTATATTTCTCAAAACCGCCGCGGATATAAAATTTTAAAAAAAAAAGAAAATTTAAAATATTCGCGGCGGTTATTTCCTTAAAACCGCCGCATATTAATACGATCTGGCAGCTTTTCTTTTTTTGAACGCGCGGCGGTTCTACTTTAATAACCGCCGCATATGTAATTTTTTTTTTAAAAAATTGATATGTCGCGGCGGTTCCTATGTAATAACCGCCGCGTTTATAGTAATATTTTATTAACACAACTAAAAATTGGTAAAAAATTGTTTTTTAAAATCAAAACTAAATTATTAACACATCACCTGTTTAACAAAAAAAATTAATACAAATTCTTTCAAACCAAACATATCAATTCAAATTACATAACAATTTAAGTACTAAATTATAGTGATATAACAAAGTCATAGTTACACAAACAACTTGCCCAAATAAATCTACAACTCCATTATTACATCCATAAAATGCCTACACCAAACATTTCGAATTTCATCAACTTCTTCGGAAGAATATGATTCCGACCTTGATATCCAATCCTGAAATATAAAATAGTTGCAATCTATTAGAAGATAATAAATTACCAATTAAAAATAATTACAAGAGACTTATTAATAATGCAATATAATGTACATATAATGATACCTTTCCAATATCACTACTTCCTTGATGAACAAAGCAAACCTCCCACATAAAACGCATCACGTAATATCCACATGCTTTCGCTCCAACTTGTCTCGCACACTAATTAAATATATCATTCAATATGTAAGAAATATGAATCATATAAAAATATTTTACATCTATTTGCATAAAGCAAACTCTATCATGACATATACGGAGTAATACATACATACATACATACATACATACATACATACATACATACATACATACATACATACATACATACATACATACATACATACATACATACATACATACATATATATATATATTAAATCCATATACCTTAAGATTTTCCCATTTAATAGATTTTCCGTTTCCTTGGGAAGAAGAAGCAATCTTGAATGCTCTATATAATGTAATGGAGTTAAAAAACTACCCATAAAACTTAAAATTGAAAAAGACTAGTAGTTTTGTATTAGATCTTAACATACATCGTTAATTCTTTCTGCAAAGTGCTTATATCGCATGATCCCGGGAGAGAGTCCATGATATAGCCTTTATTCACCGCAGGACAAATAACAATTAACATCCAATGATATCTGCAAATTAAAAATACAAGTCTTATTATATAAACACAAGTTACAAAAACAAAATAGTAAAACTCTTACCCTTGATTATATGGCAACAAAATTAATCTTTGATCAAACAGGTCATCTAAATTTCTCATCAGATACGACGTAGTGCCATCATAATCAGTCTCAAGTGAAGTATAGGAGCAATTATTTGGACATAAAAATTTGGGTCATGTTGATGAACTTCATCTTCATCATCAGATCCATCGGTGTCAGCCATAGTATACCTGTAAACTTTAAGATACAAGTCAAATAGTAATGATTAACACAATTGTACATAACACATTAAAAAAATACAAACACTATTACTTAACTAAAAATTCTTAAAAAATACAAACACTATTACTTAACTTAAATACAAACTTCAAAGTGATTCTCATACCATCAAGTTTCAATGACAATCTCCATACCATCATTGTGATTCCCAACAAATGGAAGGTCATCATCATTACAATCGTTAAATTCAATTTGCCCATGCATCCCAACAGACAATGAAGGGGTTTCTTCAACATAATCATCGTTTCTAACCTCATTATCAATCCCACTTATAAATTTCTGTCCCGGTAAAACAACAGACCATCTCTTATTTGAAGGATCCTCAATGTAGAACACTTGTTCCGCTTGCGATGCAAGTATGAAAGGGTCATCTTGATGTCCCGATCGATTGAAATCCACAAGTGTCAATCGTGTGTCATCACGTCGGACGCCGTGACGAATATCAACCCATTTACATTTGAACAATGAGAATGTTCTGTTTGAGTAATCAAGCTCCCATATATCCTCAATCTTTCCATACACTACAAAAAAACAGCGTTATAGTCACGGATTTTAGTCACGGATTTGGTCCGTGACTAGTTTAGTCACGGTCTAGTCACGGACTAGTCACGGAAATTTTAAAAAAAAAAATAGTCACGGTCTGGACCGTGACTATGGCCGTGACTACAATTAGTCACGGTCTTGGCCCGTGACTTAAGTCCTCCGATAGGCCCGTTTCCGTTTCCGGCGAAGTTTATTTGATTCCGACGACTTAGTCACGGCCAAATCCGTGACTATACCCGTGACTATAATTAAAATTTAATTTTTTCAACTCCCTTAACTTAATTTGCAACGGCATTATGTACGGATAATTTTAGTCACGGATATATCCGTGACTAGTACCGTGACTACTTTGATTAACACGTCATTTACACGTCATTAACACGTGTTGGACGCGTATTGGACACGGTTTGTCTTAGTGACGGACAAATCCGTGACTAAGTCCGTGACTAAATTTTTTATATATGCAGGAGCAGCTCATTGAACAGAACCACACCAATTCATTCCCAGTATATACAGTATCCGTTTGAAAGATCGAAGGATGTAGTCTATCTTCTATCATTTTCCCTGTTTATGCAGATAAGGTATGTTATTTGAATTATAATTTTTATTTAGAATTAGTTGGTTCAATTTAAATTATTAAAACTATTAAATTAGTGAGGTTGTTAATTAATTAACAACATGTTTTAACTATAAGCGTAGTAATGTCATAAATTAGAATTAGTTAAACTTGTAGGTTTATAAAATAATTTAATTAAAATTAGTTAGCTAAATGATGTTTATGTTAAGTGAAATTAGTTCAAATAACGTACGTTAGTAATGTGTTAATTAAGTGAATTGTGAATTGTTATTGTGAATTGTGTATTGCTTATTAATTCAAATGACTTTATATACATGTTCTAATTATTGGGTTGAATTTGGTCATATTATTTAATTTAGTGAATTACTAATAAGATTAAATGTCATTAACGTTATAATTTAGTGTAGGTTTAAACGTAGGTTTACAAAAATAATTTAATTCAAATTTGTTTGCTAAACGTAGGTTAAGTTTGAACGTAGCTATTGATGTGTTAATTAAATTAAATTAGTTAGCTAAACGTAGGTTTATACGTAGTGATGCATTAAAAGGGGACGGAATGAACTAGTTAAATTTAGTTAAATTTAACTAAATGAATTAGTTAAATTTAATTAAACGTATGTTTAATTTAGTGAAATTATGTGCATTATTGTGCATTAGGGGACGTATATTTTGTGCATTATTGTTGTGAATTCTGTGCATTTCATTTAATTTAGTGAAAATTAGTTGCTTATATTTAGTGAAATAAATTACTTAAAATTGTGTGCATTGCATTTCATATAATTTTTTATTATAATATTCAGGCATAATGTATAAACAAAATAGAAGTTGGATGTATGATAAAGATGCGGTATTGTACGGAATGCAATCAAATTTTCTCGAGGGAGTCGGAGAATTTATTGAATTTGCACTTGAACATCCGGCTTATATGAGTGGTGATAAAATAAGATGTCCATGTTCAAAGTGTAAAAAATCTCAAATTTAAAGACCCACACGAAGTTGGGTATGATTTGTACGCGGTCGGTTTTGTTCCCAATTATTATAATTGGACTTCTCACGGCGAACCTTTGGATCCATCTGTTATACCACAAACGGTAGGTTCGTCTCGTTACGTCCCTCCAGAGATGAGTGCGTGGGGAGACCGTGCTGAAATGAGGTGGGACCAACAAATGGTATATGACGCATACGGTGTACCGTCTCAGTTCAACCCCCCACAACCACCTAACGACCACCCTGAAGCCTCAACCTCGTATCAACCAGATGCGGATGAAAATCCGACATTTTATCAACCTTATGTGGATGAAGGTTTGGCTGAGAGATTTCAGGATGTTCTAAAAGCTGCCGACCAACCTCTGTATGCTGATTGTGAGGGATACTCTCAGCTATCCGCTGTTACTGAGTTCATGAACATAAAAGCCGAATACAGTCTCCCTGAAACTTGCATGAATAGAGTCTTGCAGTCAGTAGGAGGGATGCTACCGCGAGATCATACCCTTCCCGATTCATATTACCACATGAAGCAGTTAATGTCTAAGTTGGGGCTACCTTGTGTTGAAATTGATGCGTGCCCGGAAGGATGTATGTTGTTCTAGAAGGAGGATGAGGCACTTGAGTTCTGCAAGTTCTGTGGTGGAGACAGATACAAACCTGTTCGTCAAGGTAAAAAGAAACCACGACATAGGTCTGCACTGTCTAAACTGTATTACCTCCCAATAGCTCCTCGACTGCAAAGGATGTACGCTTCGACTGCTACTGCGAAACACATGACCTGGCATGTTGAGCACGAAACCAACGAGGGTATGATGGCTCACCCTTCGGACTGTGAAGCCTGGAGACACTTTGACCGCTGTCATCCTCAGTTTGCTATGGAGCCACGAAATGTGCGGCTGGGATTGTGCTCAGATGGATTTGCTCCTTTTGGCAGGTTTGGCAAGAACTATTCATGTTGGCCGGTCATGTTAACTCCTTAAAATCTCCCTCCCGACATGTGCATGAAAAGTCATTTCATCTTTTTGTCTTTAATTTGTCCGGGTTCCAAGGATCCTGGGCGAAAGATAGACATTTATCTTCAACCCCTTATTGAGGAGATGAAAGAACTGTGGGCCGTTGGGACACCAACTTATGATGTTTCATCAGATAAAATGTTTATCATGAAAGCTGCCATCATTTGGACCATTAGCGACTTCCCTGCCTATGGCATGCTTTCGGGATGGAGCACACACGGTCTGATGGGATGTCCGATATGCATGGAGAAATCAGGTGCAAACTGGCTCAGTTACAGCAAAAAAGGAAGTTACTTTGATTGTCACCGCAAGTTTCTCCCGGAAAGGCACCGATATCGAAAGGACAAGAAGTCTTTCATTAGAGGCAGAGCGGTACGAGAGAGCCCACCCCCGAGATTGACCGGTGAAGAAATTTATAACCGGGTTCGACGTTTTCCTACGGCTATGGAAGAGCCAAACCAAGAGCCATATGGGTATTGTGATACCCATAAGTGGACAAAGAGGAGCATATTCTGGGAGTTGCCTTATTAGAAAGACCTTCTCATCCGTCACAATTTAGATGTCATGCACACTGAGAAGAACGTCTTTGACAATATATTTAACACGGTGATGGATTTGAAAGGCAAAACTAAAGACGGTCTTGCAGCTAGGAAAGATATGACTATTTGGTGTGATAGACCCGAACTTTCTGTTGATCTAGAATATCAGGGCAAGGAAGTTCCAAAAGCAGTCTACCAGGTCACAGAACCACAAAAGGCAGCAATATTAAAATGGCTTGCGTCTCAGAAGTTTCCAGATGGCTACTGCTCCAACTTGTCTAGATGCGTAGACATGAACAAACTTACCACGACGACGAGCATGAAAACTCACGATGCTCATGTAATAATGCAAAGACTTCTACCAATTGCACTAAAAGAGATGCTCCCTGAACACGTATGGTCCTGCATTACTGAAATCAGTTTGTTGTTTCAATCGATATGTTCCAGCGTTTTGGATGCGGCATCCCTCCGGAGACTACAAGAGTCTGTTCCCATTCTGATGTGTAATCTGGAAAAAATAATGCCACCATCGTTTTTCGATACAATGGAACATCTCATAATACATCTTCCGTATGAGGCTTTGACTGCTGGGCCCGTCTTCTATCGGTGGATGTACAGATTTGAAAGGTTAGTCACAATTTCATTTAAAAAAAGAATATTTATTTCACAATAACTGTTAACATGTGTATTATTGCATTAATGCAGATTTCTAGGAGAGCTGAAAAAGAAAGTGACCAACAAGGCACACGTTGAGGCTTCAATTTGTCAAGCGTATCTTCAACAAGAAATCTCAACGTTCTCGTCTTTTTACTTCGAGCGTGACGTCATCACCAGAAGGAAGAGACCTGCCCGGAACGATGACATTGGCGAGGATTTATATGAAAATGTAGTTTCCATCTTCAATTACCCAGGCAGAGGTAAAGGTGCTGCGACACAACGATACATCCTGGGTGGGGAATTGCAAATTGCGCATACTTATATCCTCATGAATGTCCAGAAATCTCACCGTTTTATCAGTAAGTTAAATTTGTAGTTATAATTGTAATACTTATAAATTAAATTTGTAGTTAATTTATAGTTTTTTTTATTTTTGACTTCACAGTGAATTTCGAGCTTCTTTATCAGCCTTTCCTGAGAATGAAATTGATGCGTTGGTGGACTCTGATTTTGTAAATTGGTACAAGTATCAGGTATATATATACACACATTAATTATATATATTATTAAGTAAGATTTTTCAATATTTACCTAATGTTATTATTATGTTTATATTTACAGATCAATAGTCGTGCGATTGTCGACCCTTTGTTAGTATCATTAGCATGGGGCCCAAGTGCTAGTGCCAAAGTGTGGCGGCAATATGTGATAAACGGTTACACATATCACACAGCCGATTGCGGACAGGGCCGACCAACAACGAACAACGGGTTATGTGTCCCGACCATCGGTTATGATAACTCGGAAACCAATTTTTTTGGTGTCCTGCAGGAGATTCTGGAACTTGAGATGCCTTCTGGTGCGCAAAAATTGACATGCGTTCTGTTCCGCTGCACATGGGTCGATCCCACACGTGGCGTGCGCAAAAATCCGAAGTATAATATGATTGACGTCAACCACGCTCGTGTGTAC